AGCTCGGGCGCTGGGGCGCTTGTCAATGTCAGCGCCGGGGCGGGTCTGCTGGAGAATCTCTAGGATTCCTTCTCCAGTCGGTGTCCGAATGCGGGTACCTTGAGCACCAGCGCGGTGTCCGTAGCCACCGGCAGGAGCAGAGATGAGACCCATTAAGCGTAGCAATAAAGTACCGCGTGGGGGAAGCAAGGAACAAAAAGAAAAGGGAGTGATGGTTTGTCCATCACGCTGAGAGGTGAGCTAGAGCACTAGAGGGGGAGAAGATGATGGAACCAGAGCAGCATGGAAATCAGGTGCAGCTCTCGTAGCCTGCTCGACCCACTCTTTTGAAACTCACACATGCCCTAGAAACTAAGAAACGTGGCCGACATAGATGAGAAAAGAAATGACAAAAGATCCCATCAGAACACGGGCGGTAACTTTCAAGGGACTTGTTTTGGGCTGGTGCTTCCTAGTCCCGTGGGCAGCTTGTGCGAGCAGGTGCCCAGGTTTCCACAGCACTCCAGGTTGATGAGAAACGCTTTGCAATTATTGACTAGGAAATGGGGGGGCGGGCAGGGTATTTCAGTTCATAGCTGAGCGAAAAGACTCCTGCTCTCCACGAGGAAGAAACTTTAAAAGGAGCGCGAAGCCTGTCTGGGCATTAGAAGAAGCCAGTGCAGCACCCAAAGCAGTCTCGGGTTAGAGCATGCATGCCAGTTAATCTGGACGAACTAATAAAGCAGAGGCGCACACGTCCTCCCAGTTTAGTGACTCGGTTGCAGCCGTTCAGGCTTCCCCGAGTCTGGGGGAGGAGGGGGGGTAATTGCTTGAGTTCATTAGCCCCGTTGTGCTCTCTGGTTTCTCTTGTTTTAATGTTTCAGTTGGAATAAGAATAGTTACTGTCGATCCGCCTGGGACTGCAGGAAATTATTCCACTGGTTCTTCGGAGGGCATCAACTTGTATTAATTTCTCTAGGACGACTCCAACCTGTCTCTTGTTGAATGTCAGAGTAATGGGAACTGCCAGTGACAAGACGTCGTATTACTCCTGATTAAGTATCGTGTCAACCTAATTAGCAGAGTAATTATAAGGTGCTAATGAATGATTCAAAGTTCTTTGAGTTACATTTTACTTCGAATTACCATTTTAAGGACCCTATGAATCTAAGGTAAACCGTGCTGGCACCGCTGCCACGTCAGCCCGCAAGAATATATTTCTTGCCACATCAAATGGCAATTAAAGTCTCCAAGCTTTTTCCTTAAGTTGCATTAATTAAAAAATAATAAAGTAGGCAAAGGAAAATATCTTTCAAAAATATTACATCAAGGCATTTTAATTATCTATTATTATTATTCTCCCCTCCCCTAAAAAAGATTTTTTGCCAGTCTTATCTTTTGAAATGAGAATAACTGACAACACTATATCAAGTGACGGGTGGATTCACTGAGGTGGCAGAAGGCTTTTATGTGGGGGCTCTATCTATGGCGATAGAAATAGATACCGGAAGAATAATAGAGGGACGTGAGACAGGATTAACTAACGTACGATATTTAGAGACGTAATGTTCTCTGGTAGCGTTAGATAAATGTGCTAGATGAAAAGTATTAAAGCTAAAACTGACAGTTCAATAGTTCAGTGGAACGCCACGGGGGCGGAGGGGTGGAGAAGAAAATGGGTAAATAAAGTACCTGAGTCAGGTCTGAGATAATCTTCTTTGTGGACAGGTGTCTGTAGAGACCTCTCTTTTTGTTGGTACAGAAAAAGATTTGCTGTGATGGCTCTTAACTGTTAGCTGAAAGCATCAGCTTGTTTTGGCTACCCCATCACAGCAAGCCCCCCTTTAACTATCTCCTGCCATAGGTCAAGCTGAGATTCATGGTAGTTACTGATGGATTGCTGGGTTAGGCATAAAGCAGCCTTAAAGGTCGGTATTTTTATGATATTTTACTTAATCATGAAAATTCCTGCATAAAACTACCGAGATAATTAGCCCTATGTGCAGAAATGCAGCATTCATGGTTACGTCTGTCCATCAGACCGCTCCTCCGCGCATTTACTATTAACTGCCGAAAATATGTCACTGGATGGCCGTGATGACATTGGAAAATGTTCTTTTTCGAATTTATACTTTTAAAAATATTGATTCGGGGCTTTTAAAAAAACTGATCTAAGCCATCAGCATTCTGCTGCGGTGCATTTCCTAAAGAAATATCCGCATTAAAAGTTGGAGGAAGATTGGGTCCACTAGGGAAAACACATAAAATATGAGATTGAGTGATAGCACAACAAAAATCAATTATTCCAAATCCTTTATAAATAATTCATTTACGATTGTTTTTGTTTTGTTTGTACGCCTAAAATGACTGAAGAGTGAAAAAACCGCCTATAGCACAGCTTGTGTTGTGTGGTTAGAAATGTTATTGACTAGTAATATTTAACTACGTTCGCAAAGAAATCCGAAATTTAATCCAGTGACTGAGGCAACGTAGAGGAGAAAGTATTTATTCTGTTAAGGTATTCAGGACATGCCAACATTTACATCTGCCCGATACCAAACAAATTACGTAGGCTATCATTAGTAGTCTTTTAATGCTTATTAATTACGTTTTTGTGCCTTTGATTCAAATGGCAGCCACAGGGAGATTTTAGAGTAGAGTCTGCTGCGGAGTGTATGTCTAAAGAAAAGCAATGCAATAGCTGGTTATGTAGTGATTCCTGCCTTTGATATTAAAACGAGGCTTGTAGTCAAGATATAAATACAATTTATGACCATTTACGCCTCGCAGGTAAGCTTGAAATAAAGTAACCATTCCCATTTTTGTAAGCCCCCAAGAGGCTTTTTTTTTTACAACCTTAGGGGGTACATGACGATATATTTGTAATCAATTAATACTCTTACAAATCAAAGGTTAAAAATAAAATCTAAGCGCAACGGATTTGAAGTTAAACTTTGTTTAAAACATATTCAAACGTATTTAACTTTAGACTGTTTTCCCGTGTCTAAGAACACTCTAATTCAAATAATTATTTGCGTATTCTCGTCTTACAGATTTGTTCCGGCATTTTTCTTAAATTAGTCAAAGAGCATACTGATGGAATTTTCGTTGCACTACAGAGAATGGATTGCTAATTACAATATTTAAGAAGTTTTACTAGTAAACCAAAACTTTTACTCCGGCAGGTGTCAAGCTATTAGCATCACATTATATATGTAGGCGGTGTGAAGTTATTACATTCATCTTCATCTGGCTTTTTCTACAAAGTGTAGCGTCGGCTTTCACTTTTTAAGCCACTCACACTTTTTGTTTCAGGTGTCTAATGATTTTGGAAACAAAATATGTCTTTCACATCTCCTCCTGTGTAGCTTGGTTTTACAGAAGTTGTCGCAACCTGCTTTTACAGAAGTTGTCGCAACCTGCTTTGTAACGGAAGCGAACTGCGAAAGGCAGCCATCTGCTTCCACTGTAGGTATTGATTTTTCGTGTTTCACCCCCCATTCGTGGTTAATTTGAACCTTTCTTTAAATGTCCTGTTGTTGAAAGCAGAATGCCTGATCCGGGAGAGATGCGACGACTCGACTGACTCCTTTGTCCACTGGGCGGCGATAGTGGTTACCAACATCGTCTATTGTCTAAGAAAGCCTCTTGGTCCGCGGAGAACAATACTTTTAGTGCTGCTTTGCTGATGTAGTTCACATGTTCTTTGTCCTGAGAAAGCTTTTTTCTTTCTTTTTTCCCT